ACTTATCAGATATGATTAAGAATCCTATAGCAGGGAAATTATCCTGGATTATCTGGGTGGGTCTAGTCCCTGGAGACTGAACTCTGACCTGCCAGGGATCTAAACCTTTTACAACCTTTCAAAATGATAGCTACTGTAAGAGGGGTAATTCTTCTTTTTTTTTTTTTTAATTTTTTAAATGTTTTTATTTATTTTTGAGACAGAGAGAGACAGAGCATGAGCAGGGGAGGGGCAGAGAGAGAGGGAGACACAGAATCCAAAGCAGGCTCCAGGTTCTTAGCTGTAGCCACAGAGCCCGACATGGGGCTCAAACTCACGGACTGTGATATCATGACCTGAGCTGAAGTCGGACGCTTAACCAACTGAGCCACCCAGGCACCCCTTTGTTTTTCTTTTTAAAATTTTTTTTAATGTTTTTTGTAAGAGGGGTAATTCTTTTTTTTGTTTGTTTTTAATTTTTTTCAACGTTTTTTATTTTATGGGACAGAGAGAGACAGAGCATGAACGGGGGAGGGGCAGAGAGAGAGGGAGACACAGAGTCGGAAACAGGCTCCAGGCTCCGAGCCATCAGCCCAGAGCCCGACGCGGGGCTCGAACTCACGGACCGCGAGATCGTGACCTGGCTGAAGTCGGACGCTTAACCGACTGCGCCACCCAGGCGCCCCTAGAGGGGTAATTCTTAATTATGCAAGTGAATGGCTTATACTGAGAGGAGTCTCCCCAGCTCTGAGGACTGAGCCTGCCCTTGATAATTTTTCTTTCCTCTACAGAAATGTGGACGAGGTACAGAAATTATTTTTTGTTTTATTTTGTAGAGTGTCAAAAATTATTCAACAGTTAGAAAAGAGGCAAGAGATAACTTCATGTCTTCAATGCTATATGGAGTGCTGTGGAGCAGGCCCACACCAAATTACTGATTCTCTAGGGGATAGTGTGCTTTTGTTTGACGTATCACTTGTCTTGATTCAGGGTCAGGTTCTGTAAAGCTGGATCCTCTTTCGGATTGGTCAATTGCAAGTGCTTTTTGGAAAGTAAAGATTGAAGTGACTTCCTGTCTAATAGAATAACTTCAAAGCTTATAGCTTATGGTCCTTTAGGTAAGATGACCAACTGTTCCCATTTGCTTTGGGACTGAGGGACTTCCCAAGACAAAGAACTTTTAGTGATAAAAGCAGGAGTGTCCTGGGCAAACTGGGGCTGTTGCTCATTCAACTCATCCAACCAGTAAGACACTAGCCAGTTTGGGAGCTGACTTGACCATCTTCTTTTGGTGTGTTGTCTTGCATTGTCTAGAAATACTTTGGTCTCTCCCATAGGCCTTTGAACCAATTTTCTCATACTGCCATTCTGTCATTAGTAATAAACAATCTAAATAAATATGTAAAGCTAAATAAATCATTGATACACACTTTATAATTGTGTAAGAGTCATTCTGTTTAACCATTTTAAATGAGCACTTTGATAAGAGAAGGGGTTTCTCTGGTGAGGAGAAGTGGAATGATACTCTGCCAGGACACCAGGCCCTGGGGATTCTACTGGAGCAGCTGTTTCTGTTTTTCATCCCTTCATTGATCCCCTCTCTTTTGAGTCTATAGATATGCTTAAGTCCCTTCTTTCCAGAAACGTAGCCTCCCCTTCCTCCCCGCAATGGTCCTGCCTCCTACCATTCTCACTCAAGAGTGTAGTCTGACTCCTTCCTGGCAAGAAGGAATCATCATCCTCTCATGACTCAGTTAAGGTCACCTTTACAGTCCAAATACAAGTGACAGTTTCCAATCTTGGACTTATATTCTCTGTAATAAAAATTTATAGCTACCAACACCTGACAATCATTGGGTACCCATGTTCTTTGAGTGTTTGTTTTCATTGAGCATTTGATATTCTATTCCCCATGCTCTTGGCTACCTGGCCACTTAGAGATTACTACTTCCTGTTGATGGAACTAAATACTTCCTTGATATCACTCAAGTCCACATCTTTGCCATCCCCAATGCCAACGCCTCAACTTGGGCCAGCTCTCCCTGCAAGCTCGACCCTGAGCTCAAGAGTTGGACGCTTAACAGACTGAGCCACTCAGGTGCCCCTGAGATGTTATTTCTGTCATTTTCCTGGTTAAAAGCCAGCCATCTCTGGTGGTTCTGCATGACCTGTAGTCATAAACCTAGCATGCATCCCAATAGACAAATACAGTTAACCCTTGAACAACATGAGTCTGAACTGCATGGGTCCACTTACATGTGGATGGTTTTCAATAAATATAGCACATCACTGTAAATGTATTTTCTCTTCCTAGTGATTTTAATAGCATTTTTTCCCTCTAGCCTACTTTATTGTAAAAATATAATATGTAACATGTATAACATACAAAACATGCATTAGTTGACTGTTATGTTACCGTTAAGTTTTGGGGGAGTCAAAAGTTACACGCAGATTTTTGACTGCACAGGGGCTTGGTGCCCCTAACCCTTGTGTCATTCAAGGGCCAAATGTATTTATTTATAAATTGCATATGTGTACCATTGTATTCACATATTAGAAAATCAGGTACAGAAAAAGAAATCCATGGGGTACCTGGATGGCTTCGTCGGTTAAGCGTCTGACTCTTGATTTCAGCTCAGGTCATGATCTCACAGTTGTGAGATCGAGCCCTGTGTGGGGCTCTGCGCTGACAGCGTGAAGCCTGCTTGGGATTCTCTCTCTCTCTCTCTCTCTCTCTCAAAATAAATAAATAAACTTAAAAATATATGTATCCCCTTAAAAAATAAATAAACGCAAAAAAGAAACAGAAATTCCCAACAAGATAGCATTTACAAATTAAAGCACTAATATTTTTTCCCTCCCCACAGTGGAGGTTGTGTGCCCTTGCTTGGAGTCCACAGACCTGCAGCAGGAAGTCCATGTCCATATGGCTGACTTTCTTTTTTCCTTTTTCTTTAAAAAAAAAAAAATTTTTTTTTAATGTTTTATTTATCTCTGAGTGTGAGAGTGTGAGCAGGGGAGAGACCGAGAGAGAGGGGAACAGAAGATCTGAAGTGGGCTCTGCACTGAGAGCAACAAGCCCAATGTGGGGCTCAACCCCACAAACTGTGAGACCATGACGCGAGCCAATGTCAGACGCTCAACCAACTGAGATACAGAGGCACCCCTGACTTTCAAGTCTAGTCATCATCTGGCCCCTACCCATCTCTGTCTCCTTTCCCTTCACATCCTCCCTTGCTCCCAGGGCTGGCTCAAGTAGAAGGATTTGAACTTGAAGCTCCCCAAACCTGCCTTTCCATTGGCTGCCCCCTTTGTTTAGAATGCTGTCCCCTGCTTTTGCTCCCCAACTCCCAAGCCCCTTTGTCTTATATATTCCTAAAAGCACTCTGTCCTCTGGGAAGCTGTTTTTTGGTTACTTCTGCCCCCTCCATACCCCGTGTACACCCATGTACATCTTTTTCTTTGCCCTGCCTCAAGACTGTCTTTAAAAAACAGTCTCGTTCATTTAGGAGTCAACAGTGCCTGATAAACAATAACGGTGATGGTAAGAACAGTGAATACTTTTATAGTATTAACTCTGCCAACCACTGCTTCAAGTGTTTTACACATATTTACTTGATTTAATCCTAGGAGATGGGTACAATTATCCCTATTCTGCAAACACGAACATCTGGGCAAAGAGAAGTTGAGAAACTTCCTAAGGTCATTTATGTAGTATGCAAAGTTCAGGAAAGATTGAACTAAACTGAACTGTGTGCTTTTTCTATCACACCTCTGATGAGAGAAATAGAGTCACCCAGGCCAGTTGGGCAAGGAAATGCTCAGGCTGAGGAAAGGGGAGTATGGCGAGGACACCCCAGCCTGAGCCTGCGCTGCCCCCTGCTGGCCAGCTCTGCCCTTGCTGCAGGCTAAACAAGGTCAGAAGTCCTCTCTGTCACCAGAGCTAGAGCCTGGAGTCTGGGGACCAGCACAGGATATTCCGAAAGAGAGAGGAAGCCAGGAGATACAGGGAATATGCAGGAATTTCCTCTTGATCCACACACCTGAAGGACTGTTTCCCTGATAGGGATGGCTGAATGAAACCACTCAGAGTTAAGAACACAAGTGGGAAAGTCAACCCTCTACCCCCAAGTGCCATAGAACATATCCCAAACCAACAGAAATGTTTATTTTTTAACAAAAAATTTAGGTGAGGATTTGGATTATTCTCACATTAGGCTCTCCCTTCGGGTGGAAAATTGAATGCTAATTTATATTAACAGATTGGTTCTCAAATGGGGTGCTTTGTGGAACTATTAAAAACTGCAGATGCCCAGGCTTCATTCCAAGCATGCTAAGTCATAACCAGCAGTGTAGGGGCACTTGGGGGGCTCCGTCGGCTAAGCGTCTGACTCCTGATTTTGGCTCAGGTCAGATCTCACTGTTTGTGAATCTGAGCCCCAAATTGGGCTCTGTGCTGACAGCGTGGAGCCTGCTTGGGATTCTCTCTCTCCCTCTCTCTCTCTTTGTCCCTCCCTTGCTCTCTCTCCCTCTCCCAATAAATAAATAAACATGAAAAAAAAAAAAAAGAACCAGCAGTGTGTACTATTTTTCCTCAGAGCTAGCCTCCTGCTACATTTTCCCAAACTCGAAATCTCTAACACCATTTAGCATCCCACTTTTCCAGTTTAAGTAAAGGCAATGCCTTTCTATTTGTGCTTCAGCAGAAAACGGTGTTATTTTACAACTCTAAAATGTAGATAATCAATAGCAATGAAAAAAAGTAAAGTTTTACCTTTGGACATACAAATTCTATCTTGTCTGGTAGAGGTTCAACTGATTTTCCTTTTGCTCTTTGCAAACAATTGGTTTTGCCTCCTTTGTACACCTGTTTCATGATTCCTGATCTATACTGGGTGTGTTCTTCAGATTTTCTTTTGAACCTGTGGTAACATCTGCCTGATTTCCCCCCATGACTACTGAGTTAAATAAAAGGTTTAGCATGTGTCCGTTTTATATATGAATGAGAGTTGTGATCGTACCTTTTCAGGAAATTTCTCTAACACACCACTGGCTATAGTCTTTGGCCATCTGCTACTGGAGCTCTTTGCTTTGGTTGAACATTCAACCTTCACAAGAGGGCTCCTGTCCTTGTAATCTTCTACTATATGCATAATGTCTGTCCACGAGTTCCTGGAAGAAGGTAAAAGAATCAAAAGATTTTATATTTATATTTTATTCACCAATATCTTGCAGGTGACAGTGGTTGTCAGCTGGGACTAACAGCCATAACACCCAAACGTGGCTTTTTCATGTAGCCTGAGATTCCTCACATTACTTGACTGGGTTCCAAGATGGAGCATTCTCAGAGACAGCCAGAAGGAAGCTGCACTGCCTTTTATGACAGGACTTAGAAGCCATTTCTATTCAGGGCCAGCTTCACAGAATGTGACCTGTGCAGTCATCCAGGGCTCCGTACTTAGAAGAGACCCACACTTGGTTTACCACTCTGTTGTCACCATCTTAAAATTCCCAATAATATTTAAACAAAGGGCCCCACATTTTTATTTTGCACTGGGCCCCACAAATTATGTAGCCAGCCCTGAATCTCTTTGTCCAGCAACCATAATGTCCTGCCCAGGCTCACAGGGTGGGGATTGAGACTCCCCATCTTGAGGGGGCAGTGCCAAAGTTTTGGAAGAGTATGTGGGGCTGGAAATACTGGTGTGGTCTTTTTTAGAAAAGGCAATCTGCCACAGATGGTTTGTGGAGAAGTTAAGGCACATAACCCGGAGATCGGAAAGACCTTCCTCCACGGCCTCCCACAAAGACATATCCGTGTCCTCCTTGTTCCACAAAGCATCCTAACGAGAATAAAAAGGCAAATGCATCTACCCACCTGTCTACTCAGCAAATCCTGACTGAGCACATAATGGGAAGCATTTGCAGATGACTCTTAGAGACCCTGCCCTTAGCGGACTTGGTGCTTGGAGTGATGGTGTCTGTGAAGGGAGAAGAGAAAGCAAAGGGTGAAGCACTATTTAAAAAGAGAAAACATTGGGGCGCCTGGGTGGCGCAGTCGGTTAAGCGTCCGACTTCAGTCAGGTCACGATATCGCGGTCCGTGAGTTCGAGCCCCGCGTCAGGCTCTGGGCTGATGGCTCGGAGCCTGGAGCCTGTTTCCGATTCTGTGTCTCCCTCTCTCTCTGCCCCTCCCCCGTTCATGCTCTGTCTCTCTCTGTCCCAAAATAAATAAAAAATGTTGAAAAAAAATTAAAA